TCTTGATTAGAAAACAGTGCGATTGGACTGCTTATCAATTATTCGTGTACACCGAAAGCCAACCGTCGACTCGTCTCGTGTTGATATCTACTGACTCCCTGTTTGGGTCCCAAAACAGAGTAGTCGTTGTATCCCAAGGAACTATTCTTTTTTGGTAGTCGTTGTTCATTTGCGAATAATCGTGATGGTTCCTGATGGTTTATAAGCCAAATGTCCATTTCGGAACAATTTTTTCGTTAAATAAACACATCAATCGGGCGAACGGTCTTGCTCTACACTGAAGTGCACCGTGAAAATAGGAATCGGACCATTTATTTATTTATTCACTCTGGCTGGCGAAACCGATAAACCATCACATCACTTACTCAAAACGTTTTTGATCAATTTCATCCACCATCTCTTTCATTGCCTCCGTCGTTTCGGAAGATCCTTGCTGATTCTGCCGTAGAAAGAAAACATTTTTATGACGAAAAGATGCTTCCGGCTGAATGTTCCATAGAGTGCAATTTGAGCCATACTGGGTGAGCGGAATTCAAACAAAGGAGATGCAGCAAACAGGCGAAACTCCTGAATATTTGCATTAGTGCTACATATATTAGAACAGATTTTGAACAGAGTCCTTTTGCTTCCGTACCGCGGGACTGGAGAAGCAATCTGACTATGGACTGGCTCGCACGGGAAAACGTTTGCACAGTAGTGTTAAAAACGCTGTAAACAATCACACGCAGTTGTGTTCTTAATCACGTCATATACAGAAAATTGCCAATCGGGGGGAATAGCATCAAGAAAAAACATTAGACATTCGGAATTTAGCATTTTTATCAAAGACTGGACTATGACGAACAGAAGAAGTGGACTCTAGATTGTGGGAGGATTTAATATTCGATTAGGGAAATGAGTGGATTATGTCCTGAAACTTGGAACGGTGAACCGTGCACTGTATCAATGGGATAGAAGTTGTGTCTACTTTGTGCTACCGACAATTGGACTGTTGGCCATAATCTCCGCTTGGCTGCATTTACTTTAAGGACTTTGAGCTATTTGTTTATTGAAGCCACAAACTTTTGGGTTGTTAAACACACTCCCCGTAACGAGTCAAAGCCTAGTCATTCTAAACCACCGTGTCTTACAGCTTAGCACCGAATGAAACAAAAATACATATATGGGTACGTCACTTTACATCAGTGCACGAGATCAAATACATGGCAGACGAATGAACAAGTGAGATTATTCCAATACACGGAGACTCAATTGAGCGTATGCTACCGACAGTCTTCGTGGTATCCTAGTGTATACAATGAGATGACCTTATCATCATAATGATGAGCTACGCGTGCGCACATAGGTGTTTGGCAAATCACGCCTCATGCCAACGAATGAGCGCTGAGGAATAAGGTAGACTACGTATTACTGGCAACGCTCTTCTCGGTCTGCCTATAGGTATTCGCGCTTAAACGTCAAAGTGGGTCTTCGACTCTGGTAGTATGATAGCCAAAATCACGATAGAAGTTCACGGTCCCACCGACCATGTCGCCCATGTGAAATCATTTGGCCCACACCGACACACCTTGATTAGTCCCTTGTCAAATTGGTCAAATAAACGATGAGTTTCCTACTGATGAGAGAATTTGAATAAGTTGTTTATCCCACGCATGGTTCAATAATAATTACAATAATTGTCGTGCAACTTCTTACTAACCTTGGATTTAATGCAACTTTATCAATCTCTTCTGTCGATACCAGGTGCCGATTTTGCATATATATATATATATATATATATATATATATATAACATTGGTCCGGTAGCTGACGGTAGTTCAGTAAACTAAGCTTTCGAAACAACATAGTCCCGAAGTTATTAAAAGTCATTTGCAATTAGTGTGCATAATACTTCAATGGCTAAGTGCGGTAAAAGCGATAAAAGTAGACGATAAGTCGATGTATTGAAAATGTATAGTGCATGCCAAACAAGAAGCATCGTTCGTTTTGAAACAAATGGAAAACTGGTTTAATTTCTTACTTCCATTCGCATCACTGAAACCATGCTCTGCAAATTAATAATTTGATCGTCATGCTCAATGTGTCAAACTTGGAGCACACTAACGTACTGCATATAAGATTTTTGAGTTGTTTTTTTATTGATTCTCATCAAGTAGGTAAGTTGTTATCACAAGCGGTATTCGATAAGTAATGTGATCTGTTTTAAGGATCGAGCATTCTCAGAATGGCAGTTATCGATAGTCAACGTGGAAGCACAACCTTTTTCATCTTCCCCATACTTTTTTTCGATTGAAGCCAATATTTTCATAATGGAAAATGTTTAGTTGAGGAGGAANTCACATAAATGTGATTGAACTGGCCTGATATGCAACTCACCGAAAATCTTAGCCTACGATCTGTGTTCTGATTATGACTATGGGCTTATTTTGTGATTATCATTTAAGTTCATGGACAATCGATTTTACCTATTCGGGGAGCATTGGCATTGCGTAAGTGCCAGTAAATTCCTCTCGTATACACTGCTCAAAGACGTTACCAGTATTGAACTTGCTGTTTTCAGGATTTTATCGACGTCTACGATAAAGTTCATCAAATGACCATGACAAGCTCATAACCCTATGGCT